AACAACGCGTATTTCCTTATGTATTACAAAAAAAACAAAATTTTTATTGACCACCATTTTTTTCTTAACACACTGTAGCTCTCGAGCATGTCAATTCTTTGTTTTTATATATTAGTCAAGATTGTGACGTTGATATTACTTTTTTATCTAACTTAAGAAAGTTAAAAAGAATAATTGAGACTAAACATCAGAATACGTTACAGCAAACTAGTATTCTTTCGTTTACCATTAATTGATAAAGTTTATACATTTAATAAAACGAAAATCTCGAGCCCCCGACCTTTACTTGTACGATTCTCATCCAATGATAATCACATAGATTTAAATTTTGCTACAAAGTCGTTACACAGTAGTCATGTGTGATGCTGGGGTAAATCAATCAAAATGATGATCGATTCGATCCTTGAAAAAAATGACTTTTTCTTGGGAGCATGGAATTGGTGCTTACAACGCCCACAAGAACCGTCTCCACTTGGAGGAACGCCCTTGTGTGTGCAACCCTTCTCCTCTTGGTGAAGCCGGTTGGTAACGCCTCTTCTTTGGGAGTGTGGAATTGATTTTTACAACACCATGAGAACCGTCTCCACTGGGAGGAACGCCCTTGTGTGTGCAACCCTTCTCCCTTTGGAGAAGTCAGTTGGTAAATGCCAATGTTTACACTCATAACTCCAACTTCCCTACGTGGCCATCAACGCTATAGAATATGGAAACTCACAGTTGAATCGGAAAAACAATTATACGGGAGAAGTATGAGGGTAACGTTCTCTTGTTCAAAGAATAATATTCTGTCTAAAACGTTCCAAACATTAATTTATTAATAAATATGTGCTATATAATTATATTTTCTGGATGATGCTTGACAGGATTTTTGGACCTTTTAGCCAGTAAACCTTTTCCTCAATGACTGAAGGAGGGATATTAGACTTGATCGGATCCTGCAATCAAAAACAAATTGAAAATTCTGAACACGCAACTAAGTGACGATGCATTTCAATGAATAAATTTCTGGGCTAGCGAACTAATGACTCTTCTTTCGTGCAGATTAGGCGTTTCCTTACCGCTTCAGCCTTATGTATATGTATATGTATAACTTCTATTTCCGAACTAGATGTGGAAGAATTACCTGAATTGCTGTCCGAAGTAACCGAATCAGAAGTTGCAGAGATATTTGATCTGTGGGGCAGTGATTCTTTTGATTTTCCAGGAAATATTTTGTAAAAATCATGAATATCTCTTTTATTAACCAATACTATAACCCTTGATTTCTTTTTGGTTTTGGCCACCCCAGATCTGCTGAGATCTTTAATACATAGCATTGTTCTTACCCAGCCATTTTCTGCATCTGTCACTATTTCTGGCAGAAATGTCTGGAGCGTCCATAGAACCAATTATTACCAAGCAGGATATAATTAGGCGTCTTGGGGTCATATTTTCTACAAGTACTTCAGTCGGAATTGTGATGGATTCATAATTACTAAGGCAATGATTGTTTATTACATTAGAAGTAAAGGTAAGTGGGATTACAGCCAATCCAAGTGGAGCTGGGTTTCTTCTCTGACGAATTTACTATCTTTTTCTTCGGGAGTTAACTTTCTGCTAATTTTGCCACCGATTTTCTTGAGGAGTTTATCACTACACATAGAGATCCCCAAAAATCCTGGTTCAAGGCGACAATTAACTTTTCGCAATCCTACTTTAGCTTTGACTATCTCTACTTTCATGGTAAGTTATATTATGTGATATATATTCGATTGAAAAATAACCAATAATTTACTAGATTCAAACTTGGCCACATCTATGGAGCATGTGAATCGTATTTTTCGGATCCCAATCTTCTGGGTGATGGAGGTGCAGGGGTATGTTGCGAAATATGTGTCTTGACACTAGCTCCGCTATTCCGTGATGGCTCTTTTGGTGTTTATTATCTTGGACACCTGAGAGAATTTTATTGATCATATTTGTGATCTCCTCTGGGGTTAGGCCAGGTTTAGACTCCATTGAATTAGATGCATTATGACTCTTCGAGTCGCCTGTGGCTATCTTCTTCGATTAATGGGATACTCATACTATCTATCTCAATTTTAGCATAGCGCTTACAATTTTCCAGAGAAAATCCAAAGCTAATTTTTGCTTCGCGCATCCATAACCAATCCAGTCTTAATACCAGATCAAACGATGGATTTTTACGAATTTGAAAGTCTATTACTTCGGTACAATCTAAGCATTTTATTTCTTCACCGATCAATTCATCGCCAGATAAACATTCCAACCCATAATCTTCTTCTTACTAATGGTATTATATTTAGATGTTGTATCGATTAACGCTTTTACTGGAATTTTTCCCTTCGACAAGGCAATTTATGAACATGTTAATATATTTAATACTGTATTTTTTTATTGCGTATTAATAAATAATTTAACATAGACAATGACTGAAAATAATAATATTGAATTAGTGCTAAAGCAACAGAGTATGATTGATTCATGTTCAGAATGTCCAAGTATCTGATATTGTTAAACAAATTTGGTTGTCAGTTGTCGGATCGCCACACGTGGGAGAGCGTTC